CAGCCTCAGCTTGAGTCACATCAAGCTCAGGTTCATTCTGAGATGACAGAGCAGATAAGTGGTGGTGGTGGTGGTGGCTCAACAGAAACATTGGTACGGTCACATGGCCTTACGATTACGGATGTGTGACCAAAATTGCCCAAAATCCCCCCAGAAACTCTATCCCATCCTATCCAAATCCTATCAGTTGGCTGCCTTGTTCACTTCACAAGTCTCGGCGTCCAAATACTTTTCGTTCCTTCAAAACATTCCTCTTCGTCCCACTGGCACCACTGGATTCTTCAGTGGCACTGAGTACGATGATTGAAGCTCGAAAGCTCGAAATTCTTCGTCGATGCCTACCACTCATTCCATCCCTACGGGGGTCATGAATCGTGAGTGGCTAGTGGTATTACCCGGAGGACCCACCACCTCCAGTAAACAAGAGAGCAGATCGCCCATTAAACTCATCCCATTGAAAGTGGTCATGCACTAGAAAATCCACTGCGACACGAGTGTGGATGGATTCGGATCCAAAACCTTGGTTGGAAATCGGAGTGTGCAGACTGATCATGACGTTGATCAGTTATTGATTCGATACGATTCGATTGTGATCGATGCCTGCTTGGATGTTTGCACAGCGTTTACATGGATTCCTTTTGGAAGTCGTGTGGTTGGCCAGCAGTTAATCGCACCAAAAGCCGTCGACTTGAACAAATCATACGAGACTGAAGCAAACGATGGTAGAACCAAAAAAATGGTAGTTGTTGCGATAAGCACATGGATGGCGATCAGGCGATCGATCCAAAGCGCTCAGATGAAATTTTGGCGCTCCAATCGATTCCGATCGGATCGAACCTATCATCCAAAAACTTTGGCCGACTCCGGATTCTACCACGTCGGTCCAGGAGCTCAATTGCGCCCTCAGCTTTGGCCTGGACATATTTATAGGACAATTCGACAGCGGCAGCAGTACTTCAAAGAACAATATAATTAGTTCTTTGGCTAGTCTCTGCTCGATTTGCATTTTGTCAAAAATTAATTGCATTCGTCACTGCGAAATTAAGTCTTTCCAAGTTGATTTTTTTGTGATCAGATTTGATTTGAATATGATAATGGTATTGATCAGGATAACTCTCTGATCGTATTCGTTCTTATCAAAGTTTTTGAATCGTTTTTGATTTATTGTTGTTTGAATTTGAGTTTTGAGTCTGTTTTGAAGTCTTTTTCACCAATTTTATGTCACTGCCATATTGCGCATTGCAATTTCTTTCATTCATTATCATTTTAATGGTTATGCATTATTATTATTGTTATTATTATTATTATTATTATTATTATTATTATTACTAATTTTACAATGATGATTAGTATTATTATTACTATTAAGTTTGCTTATGAATTTTGATATTGTTATCATTATTATTGTTGTTAGTTCATTATTATTGTTATAGCTGTGTGGTTCGCACACATAATTTGTATCTAGCTACCAAGCTTTCTGAGAACAATTATCCAAATCATAAAGGATGATCCAGATCACATGAAAAGATTTGAAACAGTGTCGAATGTCGTTGGATGATAAACGCTGGAAATTGAGCACATAGGATTTAGTAAATCCGGAGTTCAGCTTCCGCTTCGATGTGGATTAATCTGATAGCCTCAAGCATGCCTATCCGATCCGAAATTTTGACTGCCGACTCGGTGATCTTTTCAGAAAGGAGGGTCGATTTTATCACCAGGCATATGTAGGCCAGGCTTATTTATGAGTGATATTTTTTAAGAAATTAGTTAAAGAATGATCATTGATTATTGTTTTGTACCGTTGCGCTTCAATTGATAATATTTGATCTCATTNTACGAAAACTTTACCCCTGACTAGGAGCTCATTTTTGAGCAGTGGCAAAAAATCTTAATCTTGTACCTGAGACAAGGCCCGCTAGATAGTACCAATTTATTGGGAATTACGAGCGACTACAAGAAATCCAACTGAATTGTTTGGAACTATGCTAAATGGGCCACTCAACAGATTTCAGTCTACTGGTATTCGCTGGAACATTCATATTTGTGGAATAGATAGAATTTTGTGAAGTTTCCTACTACTTTGAAGTCGAACCTTAAATTCAGGTACACTAAATTCGGGTACTTCAAGCTAACTCACGGCTACAGCTCAGGTACGCTGACCCTCAGCTTAGGCTCATACGGAACCACTGAAGTTTTAATTTAAGTTTCGCTTCCCAAATGCCGCATGAGGTTTGACTGTTTAGAAATCTATTTAAATGATTCGAATTATTTTCTATGTCGACAATTTGATTTCGCAAATTTGTCTTGTTAATTCGATGCGATATCAACGAAGTTAAGTTTTCAGCTATCGATTCAAACTGGAATCGATATCGTTCCGATTGCGATTCATGTGATCTGAATGCTGATATTATCATTATCATTACCCTTACCATTGCCATTATCGTTATTGCATTCTCATTATTACTGCGTTTATTTTGTTTGTTTGTATTGCTGATCGAATTATAGAATTGAATTGTCGAAATTTATCATGATTATTATGATTATCATTATTACGATGATTATTATTGCTCTTACTCAAATTATTTGTCACATTAACGAAAAATATGTTAGGTTATCACCTATTAAAAAGATCCAAATTAAAAATTTGTCGTCGATTCGTCGAATTCAATCTGATAATCGAAGGTNAGGTTATCACCTATTAAAAAGATCCAAATTAAAAATTTGTCGTCGATTCGTCGAATTCAATCTGATAATCGAAGGTGTTCAGAGGATAAAACGTGAAAGTACTATTTCAACGCACTTCCATCCTTTCAGCAGCTAATCGCTATCATTTGGCTTTGCTCTGAGGGTTTTTATACAGCTTATGGATTATGAGATTGGGTCAAGGAAACGGATTAAGTGTTCATCATGCCAAGTTGCATCTTTTAATTTAAAATTTGGTGTCAGATTTTTAAGCAATTTCCCGGGGTAGTCGATCTCGGCTACAAGGTGGTATATGCCTTGCTTATGAACTTTCCCTCAAGGGTGGGTAATTTTCTCTATCCAATTATTTTTTAAAAGTTTGCATTTCAAGCAAAATACTGTAGAAAATCTCCAGTATGCATCTATCCCTGTCCACTCTTTACATCCTGATCTGTTCTCCTGATGGGTAAATTGCCCGGATTTTACCCGTTTAATGGGTAAGAAATTCAGATTTCCGAACACCATTAAATAAAAATACGAGTTCCATCTCTTGGCGAACTGTCACTGCGTTCGTTTTGGCGAACTGTCTCCGTGAAGCTTTTAGCTCTCTAAAATGGTAACCTTACAGTTGGGTTCCCGGCTATTCAGTCCCCATCTCC